TTAGGGAGTTACCGATCGATATCAATATTGCCTGAAATTTCGCGTATCATGTAAAATGAGTTCAGATAAATATGAATGCCTTCTGTGGAAATCTTTTTCTTATTACTGATTCGCTGTATGGTTTTCGCAAAAATAAAAGCACAACAGCACTTTTGAAGGATTTTTCGGACTGCATCAACGATGCATTAGATAACAATAAAATTGCTCGGGCCTTATTCCTAGATTTATCGAAAGCTTTTTATACCATCGATCATGCGTTACTTTTAGAAAAAAACTTGAAAGAATGGGCTTTAGAGGACCATTTTATGATTTTTTTCCATGACTACCTCACAGACCGATTTCAATTGGTGAAAATATAAAATTGTGTAAGTACTAAAACTAGGGATCAGTGAGATGTACCTCAAAGGAGCACTTTGGGCCCGTTGCTGTTTAATATTTACAAAAATGAGTCAATTCTTTTACCGCTGCAGTCTAGAATCTTCTTATATGCAGACGATACGGTTCTGCTATTACCATATGACATATACAAAAACGCAATTCCAATATTTCAAAAGGACGTAGACATTGCAGTGCTTTTCTGGCAATATTATTTCAGTAAATAACAACAAAACGAAACTTATGTGTTTCCGCAATCCCCATAAACAGGTGAAGCTTACGGCAGGCATTTATTTAAATTCGGGGCATGGCAACTCTTGCAAAAGTATAGCACTTCCATACGAACAGTCTGTAAGTACTTAGGGATATTTTTTGGCAAACATATATTATGGAACGATCACATAAAATTTATTAAAAAAAAGGCTTCGCATAGTATAAGCGTATCTTTACCGGTTAAAGAGCGTTAGTGGTATAAATGTTCGTAAAACTTTTTATGGCCTTAGGAGAGTCGATCTTGCGATACGGTATTACTGTTTCTGGTCAATCTGCAGGAAATAAAGAACTAGGAATAGATAGACTACTTAAACAGATTGCGAGTAATGTTACTTAGGGAACCAGATATAATAACCTAGTAATAGATATGAAAATGAATGAACTAGATATAATGTCTTTCTACTAAACTGTATGAATATGTAATATTAACACGGCACTACTACGATAAGATATCGAACATTGTGGTCAAAAAGAGAAAACTGAGATGCACTGAAAGGTACGTAATACCCAGAACATTTACGAACTACAGAAAAAAAAATAAAACGGCATGATATTCCTTCCCTTTTTAATAAATTAGCCGATAATTTGATTAGTATATCATCCATGCGAACGGCAAAGCAAACTCTTAAAAAAATGGCGTCTAGAGTGTAAAACCTGATTTACCTGTTGTTTAGTGTGCTTTTTCCTGAATTATTTTTGTGTTACGCGATGTTGCTTTTTCAATTATTGTCTATTACGGTATGTTTCACGTGAGGTCGTTCGGTGTTTAGAATTTGTTTGTATTTCAGTGTTCAGCGATTTGTCTGATTTTCATGCGGAGAGTAGTTTCATTTGCATGGCGCAAATATTGCTGTGTTTTACAATTCTGTTTAATTTCTTTATTTCTAGTGTTACACGTAATACTCTGTTCTATTCCTTTTATTCGTTAAGGTTTTGGTCTGTCTGGTCCGATGAACAAGCAGCCTTCTTTGCTTCTTTGGGCCAATTACTGTAAGTGTTGTTTTTTTCAAAGGAATAAAAAACATTAATATTAAACATTATTACTGAAAATGGGCAAAAGGGCTCCATTTTCCACTGAATTTCTTTGAAAATCATTTATAACTTTTAAAATAAAGAACGATCTTTTTTTTAACTTTGGCATTTTGTTCGGACTGTTAGCGCTCCATTTGGGCTCTAGTGCCAAATAAGTAGCGTTCACAGTAACAGAGTTCCGTCGAACAACCAGCACACGAAGAGCCACTTCCTTATCTCGGACGCCTCTCTCAGCAGCTGGAATCCGGTCTCATTAAGACGGCCGGGAACGAGGAAAAGAAATTAAGCGCCCGGGTCGTCAATTACTCTCCCTCTGTGTTGTCTTCTTTTATTGGGGCGCTGCGCGGGGAAAAAGAAAACAGCAATCCCCCTTTATTTCAAATTATTCCGCTAGGAGTTTTTCTTTTTCTCTTTTGTTTCTATTGCAAAGTGGTATTTATTGTTAAATGGCGTACGCTCTTATTTTCTGCCTCTTAGTTTGTGACAAATGACAACAGAAACAGTAGCCATCTTGGCCTATAATGTATACTTGGTCTTCGAACATGAGAGTGTCGTAGGAGTTACCAGAAGGAAACCGCGTTCATATGCAATGCCCAACGTCACCTCCGGAGCCAGTTTCCACTTACATACTTTCCATTTACCAAAAATGATTACGGCACTGTAACTACCACACAAAAAGCCTCTTTTCGTCGAGGATATACAGAGAGTTTCTCAAAATGCGGTTCAAATCCCTCCTGTGAAAAAGTACACATCGCACAGAAAAGAGTTTGATGTTCGATTGATTTCGTCAAAGGAGCCTATTTAGCAAAGTTAATAACGTCGTTCAATATAATTACGTTCTTGACTACGTTTTAGTAATCAACAGAAAATCAGCGCTATTTAGAAAAATATAGACGCTTTGCGACAGCTGTGCATGTGCGCCGCCATAACCGACCTTCACTTTTTGTTTCTTTATTCTGTTCATTTCCTTTCATCGTAACCACTACAGGACGGGTTATGGCCATTTTAGATTCTACTGAGTTGATCTCCCCAACATAGGCCTTCGTGGAGGCTCGTCATCGCACGATTCAGTGGCTCAGCGCCTCAGTAAGACAAGAGAAGGTCAGCGATGGCAGCACCTCCTAGACAGCAAAGCCTGCGCGTTATATCACATGACCTCACGTCCGGAAGGCTGGCACGGGCGGAGATTGGATGCGAGTGCCGCGTCAGCGTTCGCCGTGAGGCTCGTTTCCTATCATAGTCCCACGCGAACGCTGACGCGACACTCGCATCCAATCGGCGCCCGTGACGGCCTCCCGGACGTGACGTCATGGGACGTAACGCGCAGGCTTTAAAGCTGTCTAAGAGGTGCTGGCAATGGCGGCTGTAATATGGCGCGTGTGCAAAGAGTCAATATGGTACGCGGAGCATTTTACAACGTTCCGAGAAGAAGAAAAAAAAAACACTCAGGACTGAGAAAGCGAGCGCGTTGTAATTGTGAATACTTCCCATAGAAATAATAAAAATACCGAGGACGTTCACGGACAATAACTATCGGAAATGTTTGGGTTGTCCGTAAACGTCCACCGTATTTTTTTTTTCTTTTTATTTTAAACACTGAGTTCGCTTGAGCACATTTTTGAGTTTCGGTTTTCAATAGCAGCGCGTCTTTGTGCCAGCGGTCCTACTACCCGTGGCCAAAGCGCATCTAATGCCTCGCCTCCGTCATAGAAGAAACGGAAGTTGACTTGAGCCAGCGAGATAAAACGATGTGCTGTTCAAATGACAATACAATATTTTTTGTTTCTTTTTAGGTACACCTCTGTCATATCGAAAATGTACAGGAAACCGAAACTTCAAAAAGCATCAAAATAATGTTTCTCTTTGTTTGTATCCTTTTTTAAGAGGAGGGGGGGGGGGGGGGGGGGGAGGGAATGACCCTTGGGCCTGAGGACAGCTGAGAAAATTATAATCTCAAAACTTTGGGTCGGTGATTGTCCCCTCTGTTCCTAAATTGCTGGGTTAAATTGTGTACGTTGTACCATACACGAGTTCTCCTGTAGCCTGTATTTAACCTAATTTTTACCGTCTTTAAATGTACAATTATCTCAATAAAGGAAACCTAGACTTGGGAAATACACAAAAGATGGAAAAGCTTGTACCACGGGGTTAACCGAACGAACCTTGTTGGGTATGTTTTTTGTTTTTTTTTAGATATTGTCAGCTGTAACTGTGGCTAAATTGTTATATTTTATATATTTATTTTAGAGCGCAGCTATTAGGGGCCCGTTTCCGGCTTGAGTGGCGTCGGCGTAACCACGAGGTCACGTGACCCCCCCCCCCCCCCGAGGCAACGTGACCTCAAGGAGTCACCTATCCCTCAGTACGCTTCCATCCTCCTCCTCAAGAGCTGTGCTCTAACCGGCGCTACAGGGAATTGTAAACGGCTTTCATTCTTTTATTGTACACAAGGCAATTATTCGTCACAAAAGACACAGGAGCGAGCTGGGATGAAAACTAAATGAAGTGATTTGTGTTATACACGCTTCCTACCAAAAGTAACTAAATATATCGCTCCCCGTTTGTCCATCACAAAGTAAGGAAAATACTTTACTGGTCCTTTTCCCGAAAATAACTACGTCTTATCTCGTTACCAAACAAAGTAACTAGATACTTTTGACACGTTTCTTGTAACCCATTCGACACAAGTATAGTGGTTTGCAGTTAAACCGATCAGATCAGGAAAGTGCACCACGGCAATGTGCCTTTCATCTATGTGAATGTGTTTCCTTGTATTTTAGCCTGAATCTGAGCTCTTATTTACCATTCAACCAAGTGTAAAAGTGCCGCCGATTATCATGGGTCAATCATGATCGATGGCGGCGACTGTGAGCAAAAAGAAAGTAAAGAAAAAAAAATGTGCTCGCCGGAAGGGAAGAGAGATTTCGCTATACCTCTCTTCACGCCTTCAGCCACCATTTTGCGGGCAGCACCCAAGCACCGAATCCTCCCTGCGTCTATTGAACATACTTCTGGTGGCTCTTGATTGCGACCGCGTTTTCTCTGCAGAGTAGGCTCAATAGCAACTAGAAGACAATAACCGCTCCTAACGCAATGATTAGTGGATTCCCAGTCCACCCCAAGCGGCAAACTTGCACAAGCTCGGCGAGATTCGCCGCACAACTGGCAGACGGCAACGCGCTTCTTGGCGCCAGCGCTGCGCTCGTTGTGATACGCCGCAAAACGCGCTGGCGGCGGTGCCGACGCGAGCTAGGCGCCACTGCGTGGATTCAGGTGAAGTTTGGATCCTAACCAGTCTCTTCCATACCCTCGCTGTGCAGGCTGCTCCCGTCGCGCAAGCGACTCCTCGTTGCGGTCGCAGGCCTCGCAGCGGTCTGGGGCGTCGGCCAGGAGTGGCTCGGTGTCCAAGTCCGGCGCCAGGTCGGCCTCCGGGGTGGGCGCCCACAGTCCCGGGGGTACCACCACCGGCAGCAGCCGAGGCAGCGGCGCCCACGAAGCTGCCCGCAGGACCTCGTCGTCGCCGCTTGAGGGCAACGGCGCCGCCTCCACGGGCGCCGGAAGACAGAAGCAGCCCATCACCAGGCCCCTGAGACTGCACCTGTCTCAGGAACTGCGCAGCAAGGCGAGTCCTTCTTGCGGGGCAGAGAACGAAGGAACGGCGAGATATTAGTTCATATAGGCGGTACAGATACGTCCTATACATGTTTACGGGATGGATACGTAGAAAGTTATAGGGCGAGTAAGTGCGCCAAAGTGCATTCTTGGCGCATTTAAGCGTAAGGGGGAGCACGCCAAATGCCAACACGAGGAAGCCAAGCTAACAGTCATCGGTTGAGGCCGGATGTAAACAAAAGCACGTCGGCGCGTTTGGGGGATAATCAAAAGCACGATGTGTGCAAGGAGCAGGGGAACTTGCACGCTGTTTGGACGTTCGTAAGTACGGCCTCTGGGCATCGCCATCTTGCTACTGGTGTGGGTAGATCGTCTGATAAATGCTGGTCCCGATACTTCACTATCAGACGATCTACCTACAGGAGCTGCAAGATGGCGGCGCCCAGATTCCGTACTTATAAACGTCTATACATTGTGTCACCTTAAGTCCAGACGCAACCGATGCAACGAGCTGATGGGAACACTCTGGCTGTGTTCCAAATATATACCCAAACGGATCCGAGTTATTCCGGCGGATCGTGTCACGTGACAGCACAGATTGAATAACGCTGGACGCGGGTAGGTTTTAGAACGCCAAGGGTACAAAACCCTTACCCTGGAGTAAGATCGAGTTAATTTTGGAACACGGCCTGTGACAGCGTCAAAAGCACATCATTATGGTGTTTGTCGTGTTCCTGCACGTGTCGTAGACGAAAACAAAACTAGTGACTCGCGCTTTTGACGCAAATTGATTGCTTCTATTAGCTCGTGTACCAACTTAAGCTGAAACGAAGTATAGTAGATCTTCGGGAAGCCCGCAGAAGCTTCTAGGCAGCCAGGAATGTGCACTCGAGGAAAGAATCCAGCGAAGCATTTTTTAAGGCGGTCAATCTTTCCACAAAAATAATCTATTTTTCTTTGTGTCTATATCCAATGAAGCAACAAGAGCGTGCCGCTCCCACCGAACGTCGGCCGTTTGCGCGAATAGCGGTAATCAACATCCGGCTATTTGGCCTCGCCATAGACCCCTTCAAAAGTGCGCGGCGTTTAGTGACCACTCCGGCAATTACACGAGTCTGTCATTGGTTGGCCGCCCACTTTCAGCACGTGTATTTGGTCACGAGTGCTGTGTCAGCGTTCGCAGAGGATTCGAATTCAATCGCGCTTTGCGCCTAAGAAATGGCGGCCGCCAACATTGCTCGATGGCGTTTTTAAAAGGGTTTATTCTTGATGGCGCTGTTCTCCTAGGCTGGGCAATCCTCGGAATCGCCCAACGCTCGAAGGAAGTGGTTCTCCTCGTCGCCGACAGATGACGCGTGCGTGTACACTCTCAGAAAAAAGGGTATACTTATTCTCAAAAAGGATACACTCTCAGAAAAAAGGGTATACATGTTCTTACACCCCTTCTCGCATATAGAGCACCCCAAAACTTCAGTTCGCCGTACAGCGCGCTGACGTCGAACAGACGGCCTCAACCTTTACGAGGTCCTTGAGAATGGTGAGATATATCTCATGAAACAACTAAAGTACGTATCAAAGACCACAAAATTTGAAAAAAAAAAAAGACACTGGGGTTTTGCAGTAATGCCAAGAAAACCCCGATAAATTGTTTTTGTAATCAATAACATGTACATTAGTTATAGTAATATGTTGTACTACTCGTCTGTCAAGCCGCCTGTGAAAGCTGGGAACGTCGTTTTGACATCAGCGCGGCTGTACGTCCAATTGAAGTTTTTGGGTGTTGTATATGAGACAAGGGGTGTAAGAATACACTATATTTTTTAGAGTGTATAGTCCCAAGCAGAGCCCTCTATAATGGCGAAGCCTTTCGCCCGCTAAAACAAGCTAAAATTTCGATAACACAAAATGAAAAAAAAAATTGTTTTGCCACTCTATTTACGTGCGCTAGTCCAAATTTGCGGTTAGTAGTTGTATTATATATACAACTTCTTGTACTCTGAGATTTTGCTATGCCTGCAATTGTCAATATATTCAAGCACCGGCCATCCTTTATTGATCTCCAAAGACGTAACTTACAAAAAAGCTTTATTTCTTTCGGGTTTAAACAAAATTAAGCTTTCTCGAACAAATATTTATCTGTCGATTGAGCGCAGTGGTTCGTAGCGCCTCTTCTAGATGCGCCTGTCACGGCACTCAATTTTTGCGGTGGTCATTTTTGAGACCTAATATTCAAAGTATTGAAAATTAATTTTTCACAGAAGTGGAATAAGTTTCAGCTCATATCATTTTAAGAGATCGTAGCAGATTGGTAAGTTTGAGCTTCTTACTACATTTGCAGCACCAAAAACACACAATAGCGATAATCACACTTATTACAATGGTGGGTCACAGCATACCTCGCGTGCCTGTCCAGGGTGGGTTCGAAATTCGATAACACATGCCTCCTCTGGATTCCACCGCAGGTTTTCTTACTTCCAACTGTGGTTGCTGGATTGTCGGCATCTTAAAAAGAGTGCCAAACTCTCCCAGTGTAAAACGTTAGGGTCCCAAGTTGAGCTGGTCCCAAACCGCATGCTATTGCGGCTTCGTTGGATTAGCCCACGACCAGATGTGAAATGAAGTAGACCGCCAAGTTATTCACCGGAGCACCATTGGCAGTAGCTCGTGTTTTAATGATAAATGTACGTCTGGGACATCAAAATCTGTCTACCGCGAATACAACTTAGGGACCTCCATCTCCTTTTATAACGCTTTATGGTACCAGTTGTATGCTATGCCGAAAAAAGCCAACATTTAAACTAAAGGTTTATACGACCAGGATACTGAAGTATTGTTGCCAAACTTGTCTATACTCTCGGCTTAGCATCCTCAAATCGGGAGACCCGCAAACGAGGAGGTCTGACGGATCATGGTAATTCAAACCTGTAGATGAGACCTGCTGTGAGTGCGCTAGAAGCTGAGGTAATTCATAGCTCTATGTATGACAGATGGGCTCGCTTTTTTAAAACGAAATAAAGACGGCAAGAAAATTGCACGCTAGTTGTTGAGACAACATGAAGTTGCTCTAACCTTGAATGGCGGCACGCTGGGGATGAAACATTTAGTAAAGGAAAAGCGTGTGCTAACATGTTTTTTTTTATGCACATGTAAAATCGGATATCAACACAAAGTAATTGCGCAAACCAGGTGGTGTAAATCTAACATAATCACGAAAAGCCCCGAAGCTTCGTGTTTGTTTTGTGCCTTAGAAGTATGATTCCGTGTTTACGGAGTTGATTTCTCGTAAACTTCAGAGGGCGTCTTTCGGAGTTTATTTTTCGCTGTAAATTCCGGGTTTATTGGAGTTTATATTTCGTAGTATTCAAATGTTTTTAATTTCAAAAATTAACTTATTGCGTTCCTAACTTTTTTTTTATTCAGATCAAAATAAATGAAGTCCGGATGCCATGACCCGTTGCCTGAAGAAACCTTGACGAGCTAAAAAGCAATTTCCATAAGTCAGTGGTTCGAGATTTCAAAGAAAACTGACGTGCCAACTCCTCACGACCACTGGCCCTGTCGCCTTACAAAATGAATTTGACATACACTGTCTCTTTTTTTTTAATTTTTATATTGTCGTTGTGACTTTGAAATTCAGAGCTTTCGAGATAAAATCTAATTCACAAAAACCTTTCTGGTGAGTGCTTTTCAATTTTTTTTTTTTTTATTTATTCGAGAACACAGAACCCTACTTGTGAGCAATATATTACGATAAACCCCTAGTCTCGGGATTTTTTATTGTTTGTATTTAGATGATATTACTTTATTTTTAATAGATTCTTTGCACACGCGCCAGATTACAGCAGCCATTGTTGAACTTCTCTTGTCTTACCGAGATGGGGAGCCACTAAAGCGGTCGTTGACGAGCCTCCACAAAGGCCTATGCTGGGCAGAAGGACATCGTAGAATCAAACATGGCAATGATCTGCACTGCTAGGGTTTGATGAAGTGTAGTAAACGCAATAAGAGGAAATAAAAACTGAAGGTCAGTTATGGCGGCGCCCATGCACAGCTGCTACAAAGCGTCTATAGACGCTTTCAAGCAGCTGGGCATGGGCGCCGTCAGAACCAACCTTTATAGTTTTTGTTCCATCTTATTCCGTTCGCTCCACTTCATCATTACCACAGCAGGACAGGTTATTGCCATTTTAGATTCTACGGTGTCCTTCTGCCCAGCATAGTTCCTTGTGGAGACTCGTCAACGACCGCTTCAGTGGCTCGGCCTCTCGGTAAGACAAGAGAAGGTCGGCTATGGCGGCTCAATCTGGCGAGCACTATAGGCCAAAAGCAAAATTCGTGGCAGCTATCATCATCATGCCATCAGGAGCCGCCATATTGGGGGATTTCGACATCTTCCAGTTGTGGACAAGGCGCATCTGCATTTAACTCGGTTTTCATGATATTAGGACAATTTATTTTGTACTCCATAAATTGCTCTTCAATATCGGTTCAAAAAAAAAAATATACAATAAAGAGGGCCGCAAAATCCTGGAAAAGGAACTGTCAGCAATGAGGTCGTAAAATCCGTCACTCAAACAGTGAACTTGACCATCCAAGTCAGTGGACAATCTTCATCGAGGACGTTGTGTGAAGGGTTCGCACTAGACTTGCAGCAGGTGGTCATATTTTAGTTTTACGACTCCCACTTTGCCGGGACCATCGACTCTCGGGCGAAACTATGGGAACACTCCAATATGACGGAGATTTGATGAGCACACTAGATGGGGCTTCCTTTTGTATATGGTCTATACGTTCATGTAAGTTTCGGTAATGGTAATGGTATTACTTTCCCAGAATCCAGTGACTTTAGTATACAACTGTTAAAGCCACTGGAGCGAGAACGAGGCTTCATATATATGGTTTCCTTTGCGCGAAAATGCGTGCAAATTATTTGCGAGATCAAACCCCATGCTTGTTCCAGAAGCTTAGACAGCGTCGTACACTAAGTATGAAACAAAGTATAGTGAGTTGAAGGACGCTTAGTGTCAGGCTTGAGCCCAGTTGTTCAGTTAGCGCTGT